AAGTATAGGTTTCACATTAGCACAATCAAATGTTCTGGGATTCCCATTCCTCTCAGAGTCAGCCACAGCTTGTTGTGATCCACATAGTCAAAAAAGCACAGATAGACATTCTTCTGGTAGTCTTTGCTTTCTGCCAAGATCTATCTAACATTAGCTATAATATCCCTAGTACCGCGACCTCTTCTAAATCCAGCCTGCACATTTGGCAGTTCTCTGTTGACATATTGTTCCAAACATTTTTGGATAATTTTCAGCAGAATCTTGCTCGCATGTGATATTAGTGATATTGTTCGATAATTTCCACACTCTGTTGGGTCACCTTTTTTTGGAATGGGAACAAATATCGATCTCTTCCAGTCAGTTGGCCAGCTGGCTATCCTCCAGATTTCCTGGCACAAGTTAGTGAGCACATCCAGGGCAGCGTCTGTTTGTTGAAATAAATCAATTGGTATGCTGTCAACTCCTGGAGCCTTGTTTTTTGCCAATTCCTTTATAGCAACTTCCTCCTTCATTACCATAGGTTCTTGCTCATATGTTATTTCATCCAGGGCTTGTTGTTGTTATGTGCCGTCGAGTCGCTTGTTACTCATAGCGACCCTATGTACAGCAGCCCTAAACTCTGCTCTGTCCTGTGCCAATCACACTGTCTCTGACACTCTCATCCCGATTATCCCAGTCACTGAATCAATCCACCTCATGGAGGGCCTTCCCCTCCTGCGCTGTCCCTCCACCCTCCCAAGCATGATGTCCCTCTCTAAGGACAGGTCTCTTCTCACAACATGTCTAAAGTATGTCATACGGACCTTCAGAATCCTTGCCTCCAAGGAGCCACCCGGTTTAACCTTTTCCAGGATGAACCTGTTTTCCTAGCAGTCCATGGTACGCTCAATACTCTTCTCCAGCAGCACAGCTCAAAGGCATTAATTCTTCTATCCTCCTTGGTCATTGTCCAATTCCCTGATGCATAACAAGTGTTGCGAAGACCATGGCCTGTATCAGACGCACCTTAGTCTCCAGAGAGACACGACTGCTCTTCAGTACTTTGGAGAGGTCCCTAACAGCAGACTTTCCCATGGCAATGCGCCTTTTAATTTCCTGGCTGCTGGTGCCAAGAGT